TAACAAAATGACATACAAAACCTACATCCTGTAAAGGTTACTCAAATTATGTAAATCCAAAAAACAAATAAATACTGGACGACAGAAACATTCGGTGCGATACTTTTGACTAATGGTTTCATATCATCTGCCTAAAAATTCACAGCAGAACTTGTAGATACCTTGTGGATGATAGAAACATCTCTGTAAGATGGGACTGTATGATATGTGACAACCCTAAGTATAATTCATTATGCCTTGGTTCGACAGCTATTCAAACTAATAATAGGTCTAGTTCACTTCTAGAGAAGGTATACATGTCAGTACATCATCCCGACTAGAAATGTAAAACCAAAACACACATCAATCCATAAGAAATAAACAACACCGAGTCAATTAAAGAGCTGAAGAGCTCTGAGGGAAAAGACGGCCAATTAATGTATCTAAATTTTTTTTGTATCTTCTGATAGTCTTCATGCATAAAAGGAATAAGCAAAAACATGTAGAAAAATTGATAATATTGAAATTAATTGTTGGTTAATGTAATTTCATTTCCTTAGTCAAGAATTCATCATAGTCAATTTGGACCAATAAAAGAGATTGGCACCTTCTAATTCAAAACATTTCATTAAAGTTGAAAGTTAATTATCTAAAATTCTATTGAATTCTATCATTAAATAACTACAACGATACATTTTTATTTTTTTTTATTGTATACCACTGAATTGCTAGCTAGGGCCATTCTCCATTTTTTGTGACAGTGCTCTAAGATTTTTTAATTTTTTATCAATAAAGTGAGGTCTGAAAAGTCTTTTCAGTTTTAAATTTCCATTTAAATATGTTTAAACTACAAAAAGCCATTCGAAAATTTTATATTTTTTTTTTACCATTACAATGATTATGTTGGTACACAAAATTTTGTTTTAATGGAAGACTACTTATCATATAATAAATAGCACATTTTAAGTGTTCAGATACATTAACTTTTCTTTAGGTGGATAATTTCTCATCAATTTGAGGTGCTCTTGTATTCGAGGAGAGATTCTCAATGCAGTTACAGAAAAGAATGAAAACTGACTTTTCTCTCCCAAATCCCATGTATCCCCTTTGTTTACCGCGAAAGTTGACCTACAAATCAAAGCATTGCATGTGTGAATCATCTACAGCAAACATAATTATGTTTTAAATAACCAAATACCGATTTCTAAATCGTACACGATTTGTGTGAATGATTTTAATAATGAGTAAAGGATATCCCTGATTCTACCTAGTGTGGAATTCCAACCATAACGTCACTAGGTTGGATATATTGAGAATATTTCGTAATACTGATTTTTCCGGATGGTAAAAGAAACGCAAATAATGTAAAGGAGAGCTCAAGATACGATAATTTACCGACAAACAGAAGGCAAAAGTGTTTAAAGACAATCTGTTCATTTGTGTGTCTCCTTCTCATCAATTCAGTATGAAATTTTGAGGTGTTTTCCCCCCAACTATAAAAACAAAATGAGTGACGTGAGAGGCTTAGAAGTCTGGCCAGCCACATAGGGAATTGACGACTTGAAGCCGTCTTTCCCAAAAACAGAAGAAGGCAGTACAAAGCCAGATAATTAAGGCAGATATTTGGTTCATATCATCAATCACAAACAGCCCAATATTCCCCCGCTATTATAACATCTACCACAAAGACAGAACTGAAAATAAAACTGGAGGTTGAGTCCTTAATACCACTAACTACAAGCTCCTACGCTGAAGTACATGAACTGGACACAAACAGTAAAATAATATGGACACAAATCCAACAATAAGACATAATTAACATATCTCTACATTTGCTCATATAATAATATAACTAAGAGAGCCTCTCCGAATTTCAAATAACTGTTAATAGAGCTTCACTAAATAATGTAAAATGCAGATCGAGGGTGACTTCAACCTACCGGGAAGGAGTTGGTCAAACAAAACCATGATTATTCTTATTTCTATTAAGGACAAAAACCCGTGGATAACCCAGTATGTTAGACAGAGCATGTAAAAAGAAACAAAAATCAAACCATTCTACTGATATCAAAAGATTTAGCAAATAAAGGAACCCGACCATTAAAAGCAAATCAAGGCAAACTTATAAGAAATAAACAGGGGACATAGTTACCCCAGAAGATCATGCATGATGACACCCGTTCATCAACAAATATTCTGGACCTACATCAAACAATAAAAGTGATAGAAACGAAACAGGGTCACTTCCAAAAAAAAAATCGAAATTAGAAACTGACCAAATAAATAAAGCAAATATACTAAACCATCAATTCCAGTCCTTTTTCTCCGCTGCATGTCCGATCAGTAAAAGAGAATTAAACAGAAAAAAAACATCCTGTACTTTTGGCTATATAGTGGCGGCCCTTTTGGTGGAGGAATCAGAGTGCCCGAAGAGAACCATCAACTTTATAGTTTTATTCTGTTTCGGGTAAGTTTATATTTTTTTAATTTTCATTTCTTAGAAGGCCAGACTATTCATTTTCAAAATCCTCATGCTTATCACATGCTAAATATTAAGTGTAATAACGATAAGAGAGTTAAGAGATTTTAATTTGTTCAATTTATTCACAGCTTTTCTTGTACTTATTGGACATATATGAGCTCTAAAAATTTCCTAGACACAATCATGTAGCACATATGTTGACCTCTAGATGTCTTTTATTTGTGCCTGTGCATGTGTATACATTTTATCATTCCACTGATTGAAATAAAAGTGAGAATTGAATAGTCAAACACTAGTTTTACCATCCCATGTAATTATTTTGTTGGCCTTCGGAAAATTGGTATCAATAGTAATCTCAACTTAAACTCGTGGATATTTAGAGCATTATTGACATTGTTGAAGACTGCATATCAACTTTCTAGATATCTTTTGGTTGTTTGTCGTTGGGTTGCTGTCTCAATGTTGTTTACTCCTCATCTCTATTTATTCGGTTAACATCATTCACATATTGTCTACGTTTTGAGTTGTTTATAGCTGCAAATGCAGTTACTGAAGACATTTGTCAATTGTTGAGCATCGTATTTTGACCTCTACATATTTTGTAAATGAGTCAACTATCCACTAGAGACCAAAGGACAAGGATGCAAACAACTACATGACAATGTACGGCCTTCAGCAATGAGCAAAACCATACCATATAGCAAGTCCTGAATGACAAAATGTGAAATAATTCAAATGAAAATTCAAAAAAAAAATCCAAAATATACTTAATTTATTACTAAACGAAAAAAAAAATACCACTGAATTACAGGCTCCTGACTCGAGATAGTCACAAAAAACTGGTGGGGTCAAACATGCCTGCAGGTACCAAATCTTCTCCCAACCAGGGACAGTGGTGCAACAGCACAACACAAGAATAAAATACTATAAAAATGTTTGGAAAAAGCTTGAACTAGTCTATCAGATCGGCCCTAAGCAAACAAAAAAACTCTAACAAAAGGTGCTCTTCTTAGAGTTCTCACAGTTACTGATATGAAGGCCAGTTCAAATCAAATTCCAACTTACAAATAAAGCATGTTTTCCTAGACTAACCTTTCAATCAGAACAACAAATAGATTTAATGTACATACGTCATTAACAGTCTGAGAAAACATGGCATTATGCAATCCCAAAATATACGAATCAATAAGAGGAAGGACCATACTAAGTAAGTGCCTACAACTGTACAGATATTCACACCCAGATGTTTCACTTGATTAAAACAAAATCAACGTCAGCACTTGCAAAGACAACAAAGGTTCCAAGTAATGTGGCATTGAAATTCCTAATCCAATAATTCATCAGTCATTCAAAGACCCCGTTCACAGCAAACGAGCTGGGATACATATATACTGCAAGAAGTGGCCAAAGGTTTACCACTATCCAAAAAAGGAAATGAATGCTATTTCGAGCTTTACTGGAATCTTTTTGATCTATACCCCCAAATCTATTATTCATCCCAGTTTGGGCATACAAGTGAATGATGCCTTTACTGATGCCTATTAAAACAGTAACTTTTTTTTATATCAAGTCAAATTTTGAATACAAATACAAACTACTAAGATTTAAAAATAGGAGAGTAATTTTTAGAATTAACAGGGGACTGGAAATACTGAAATGTTTAGGTGAAATGTTCAGGTGCTATCAGGAAGACAAGTATGTGAGATTCCAACGCAGATGAAATGCAAAGTAAACTGTTGACACAGAGATATGTCTTGCCTTTATGTAATTTTGACAAGATAATGCTATGAAATTAAAATGGCAATACTTTAACATGTCATCTTTGCAAAACATTCCAAGTCAGTAGACCTTGACTGTCGGTGCAGGCACAAATTACCTCTGTGGAAATGAGAATGACAATGATAATACAACTGTATACCAAATAACATTGACCTGCTACTTACTAGTAGTGATCTAAAACACCTAATCAAACTAATACATGTTGACTAAGAAAGGTTTCAGAGTTAATAGACCACGACTGAAGGGGCAACGAAATAATCTTCATTGAAATTAGATGTGCCAATGCTAATACATTGTACAACTCCATACCAAATATCATTGACTTACCAAATACCTTTGATTTGTTATAAGTGGTTCCCTATCGAGCTGACTTAAACATAAACTTTATCATGTAAACTATACAAAAAATTCAGTTGATGAACCATAATGAGGGGATTGGAGCAATAAAATCTCTATAGAACTTTGATGTACACATGCTAATACATCTACATACCAAAATTCAGTGACTTACCATACATGTAAGCGGTTCATCTTAAACGGAACTTATCACAAACTTTAACATGTAAACTAAGCAAAACTTTCAAAGACAATAGACCATTACTGAGGGGTGGGTCATATTATCTCCATGGAAATGAGATGTGCCAATGCTAATCCAACAGCATATCAAATACCATTGACCTACCACTTGTAGCAAGCTTAAGTCTCACTTTTTTTTACTTCTTTGAAGTTCGAGGCAAGACAAAAACGAGCAGTAACTATCCCGGCTTCAAAAACATTTTAATACTTTTTTAGTTAACAATTATTGAACAATAACATATTTCCATCCCAAAGAGGTAACATTCTCATGAAGTATTACCAAATGAACAATAAATGAAGTTATTAACTAATGTTTTTGTATAATACAACATTACTTCAGTTGTTATGCATTTGGTATGGCAGATTACATTTACAGCAAAAACCCCACTGAAAACAAATTCTATAAGTTCGGTTGAAATCGATTCAGCTAAATTTAACAGGATCAACAATATGAAACTAACAAAAATTAATTCAACTTGTTCATGTTGTTTTATTATAGTAAACAAAAAAGAAAAAAACTAGATATGGACAATGCCCCTCTGCTCTGTCATATGCATGAGTATAGTTGCACATACGTTAGATTTGACAAACAGTGATGTTGAAGTACAACTTGAAATTGTTGCGCTGTCTATGAGGCACAAATGATGCCCCTGCCTGATCATAAAAAATTAAAAATTTAACACTATGTATGATGATCCATCTTTTATTTTTATTCTGAATGTCTACACTTGCAGGACTGAATGTTCAGCCAGAATGTTTCAATTTTCCAGTTTTAGTAGTCACCAAGTTCTACTTCTCAGTATTGATTAAATATTTAACAATATTAAAAAATCTTATTTATTGCATTAGGGACATCCAACTGTAGTCATACAAACCATGTTTTCAAGTGAGAAGGAAATGAAGTTCTACTACCAGTTTTTGTGAATATCTAACATCTCTCCCTACTGTTAGTCCAAATACCTGGCATTTTGAGAATATTTGAAAAAAATCAAAATCCTGTGGACAATAAAGCTGTAGCTCAAAAACTATAAGTGGAGATAGCCGGACATATCATGTATCCATATCTGCACGGACGAAGGGATGGACAGGGGTAAATTAATATGCCCCTCATCATTTTGTCGTGGGGAGCATAAAAACTTATTTCTAAGAATAAAACGAGAGACCAACTCAGTCGAGAGAAGGGATTATAGTCTACATTTGAATTATTACAACAATATATATACATATGTAGTAATCATGGTAATGAAGTGGTTATTTGATAGTTTGATTAATAAAATCTAATCCTCCAAACTGACTAATTTAATTCATCTGTGTCATTGTAATCTGAATACAGTTATTGATTGTAACAATAAAGTCAGTATACATTAGAACAGTCAAGTCCATTTGGTACATTGTAACTGTCAAGTCAGTATAGTAACCTATCTGTGTCATTGTAATCTGAATACAGTTATTGATTGTAACAATAAAGTCAGTATACATTAGAACAGTCAAGTCCATTTGGTACATTGTAACAGTCAAGACAGTATAATTACATTGTTACAGTCAAGTCAGTATAATTACATTGTTACAGTCATGTCAGTATTATACATTGTAACAGTTAAGTCACTATTATACATTGTAACAGCCAAGACAGTATAATTACATTGTTACAGTCATGTAAGTATTGTACATTGTAACAGTTAAGTCAGTATAATTACATTGTTACAGTCATGTCAGTATTATACATTGTAACAGTCAAGTCAGTACAGTTACATTGTAACAGTCAAGTCAGTACAGTTACATTGTAACAGTCAAGTCAGTATAGTTACATTGCATCAGTCAAGTTAGTATTGTACATTGTAACAGTCAAGTCATTGTAATTACATTGTAACAGGCATGGCCTTTTATAGCTGACTATACAGTATGGGTTTTTCTCATTGTTGATGGCCAAATAGTTGCCTATAATTGCTTACATCCACTTCATTTGGGTGGATAGTTGTTTCATTGGCAATCATACCACATCTCCTTATTTTTATATGTCAGTATTATACATTGTAACAGTCAAGTCAGTAAAGTTACATTGTATCAGTCAAGTCGGTATTGCACATTGTAATAGTCAAGTCAGTATGGTACATTGTAACAGTCAAGTAAGTATAGTTACATTGTAACAGTCATGTCAGTATTATACAATGTAAAAGTCAAGTCAGTATAGTTACATTGTATCAGTCAAGTCAGTATTGTACATTGTTACAGTCAAGTCAGTATAGTTACATTGTAACAGTAAAGTCAGTATGGCTACACTGTAACATGCAAGTCTGTATTGGTGCATAGTGTTGTAGAGTAGTATCAGTCGTAATGACAATCATTTAGTTCAAAAGTCCAGGATTCTAAAGCAGATATTATTTTTTTTAAATTAGGACTACATACTGTATAAATATCAAGGTTCCCAATTTTTGTGCAATAAAAAAAATCAGCTGTGTTTTCTATGATTTCTCCAAATCCATCAAATTTAAGATTGGTAATAGAAAGCATTGATAAAGAAATCACAAGTTTCTTTTGATCTTAAGACATCTTAGCCATAATGATGATAAATAACTAAAAACTTTAATCAGAGTAGCCATGGTAATTAACTAAACACTTTAATCGGAGTAGCTATAGTAACTAGCTAAACACTTTAATCAGAGTCCAATACCACCTCTTACAAATTTATCAAAGACAATACAAGCAATTCTGAATTGCCTTCTCAAAACAACTTTAGTTTGTTATCCTTAAAGAAGACATGGTAAACATGAAAAGATATATCATAATATTGGTTATCTTCTTCATGTGTTCTTGGAATACTTACAGTTTTTTTTATCAAAATAAAATTAAAAATGAGATTATTAATTATAGCCCCAAATTACCATTATAATGATATTGCAATTCCCACAATTTTTATATCCAATAATGAATATGACAATGCTAGTCTCCTTTTTCTTTCTTTCCCACTTTATCTGTACTGTTCTCTGAAGTTTGAATTGGTTCACTGTCATTTTTCTTTTTTGAACGATGTTTAACATATCTGACCTCTGACATCAACTTGCTCATATTAAGTAACCACATTATCTGTAATAAAACATGTTATAATTGAGGTACAATACACCAACTTTTTCTATAATATGAGGCACGTAAAGTCAAGATATCGAAAATTTGTTTGTTGTACAATCTACCGGGTTTCTGACTACCTATTATAGTTTTTGAGATAATAAGAAAAAATTCAAACAAATGGATTGAAATTAAAAAGGGGCAATAACTATTGCAAGGAGTTTTTTTATAATTGCAATCATGTTACAGGTAACTTATGTGTAGACTTAGTTGCTTATCCTTACTGTTGTACAAAGTTTCAGGCTATCAATTATAGTTCTCAAGATAAAAGGTTGGTCCCCAAAAAGAAATCATCATATAAGGGAAATAATTCGTACAAGGAGCCATTTTCACTTATTTGCAGACATTATTTTGATGATCATTTTTGCTTTTAACAGATCTCCTATATGGGTATTATAAACACAACAATGGGTAGAATTCATGATTGAAGGGAAATAATTCATAAGAAATGGACTGATTATGTTGACTATTATAGATTTTGTCTAAATAACTCAATAATGTTTCTCTCTATTCATTATAGTTTTCAAGTTTACAGCCAAAAACACAAAAAAGAGGAACACATTGTAATTTGATGGCAATATCTCCCACCATTGTTAGAATTTGACAGATGATTTCTATCATTTTGACTTATTTTCAGATTTTTATCTTGCTGATTAACTTTGCTATATATATTTCCACTTTATCATTTATAATTTCCACAAAAAACCAACAATAACTAGCAAAAATCATTTAATAGCAATAACTCCTATAATATCATGAATATATGGAAAAGGACATGTCATAATCTCTTTATCACACATCAAACAAAGTTTAAATAAACTGTTATCACAGAGATATGTCTCGCCTTTTTGTTATTTTGATAATGCAAATGTTGAAATTAAAATAGCAATACTTTAACATGTAAGTTATGCAAATTTTCAAATTCGATGAACCATGACTGAAGGTACACGGCTAAACAATCTCCATGGAATGAGATGTGCCAATGCTAATACAACTGCATACCAAATACCATTGACTTATTATAAGTCGTTCCCTTTAAACAAACCTATACACAAACATTAACTTGTAAACTATGTAAAAGTTTCAAAGTCAATGAACCATGATCAGGGATGGGGCTATATAATCTCCATGGAAACAATGCTTGCAAATGACAATAAATTTGCAAACCAAATATCATTGACTTAACATTAGCAGTTCATCTTAAACTGATCTAATCACAACTAATACTGAACACCAGTTAACATTGGCCTACCACTAATGGTTCCCCTTGAACTGATCTAATCACAAACTAATACATGTTAACTTACCAAAATTTTCAAAGTCTATAGACCATGACTAAGGGGTCGGAGTCAAACAATCTCCATGGAAATGAGATATGCCAATGCTTATACAACTGCATACCAAATATCATTGACCTACCACAGTGGTTCCCCATAAACTGACCTAATCACAAACTAATACATGAAAACTAAGCAAAGTTTCAAAGTCAATAGACCTTGACTGAGGGGGCGTGGCCAAATAATCTCCATGGTAATGAGATGTGCTGATGCTTATACAATTGCAGACCAAATATCACTGACCTACCACTAGTGGTTCACCATGAACTAGACCTAATCACAAACTAATACATTGTTGACGCCGCCCTCGCCGACGCTGGAAACAGCATACCTATGTCTCGCTTTTTGACTCCGTCAAGGCGACACAATAAAATAGTATTCTGAATCTACAGTACAATAATGTCAATGTCAGATTTTTTTTAAATGGAAGTATTCTTTATTTGTTTAACCAATATTTCTGTTTAATTTTACTTGTATAAATTTTGGGAAAAAAGAATCTTCTTTATCTGCAATGTTGTAAGAAAGCTGTTATGTCATTAAAAGTAAGGCTATTTGCTCAGTGCATTGATTTGGATCTTTATTTCTACTTTTACCCATGGGTGGCCTGTTTGGCTATGTAGGATATATAATATGCAGTGACGTCCAGTCTGTTTGAGGACATTAAGTTCTACACATGTGTTGCAGTATGCAAGACACCCTATAGCTAGGCTCTTCCAATATTAAAAGAACCTTCAGTGAGCAAGCTCACATACCCTTCCCAGTCCATATAAATTATGATTTTAGACAGCAATATTCTTTTACATATATATTCTTAGTAACTTTATAACCTTGACCTTAGACTAAGTGACTTTTAATCTTTATCTTAATCCTCTTATTGTATATTGCCACAGATACATATATATATATATATATATATATAGGAAATAGATTAATTGTGTACAATTTACATTTCCTATTCTAACTTAACATTTACTTACTACCATAATCAAACAGTTGATAAGAATTGGTGTTGAAAAAACTGTTGATATAAACAAGCCATTACTGTCAAAATACTGTTGTCTTGAGAATGACCTGTAAAACAGATATTTAATACATGTATTAAAATCAAATTTTGCAATTAGAAACACTGATTAAATTAATAGTATCTACTGATATATAGTTCACAACATTTAAAACACTGATGTACATGTAGGAGCAGGCACTGCTTACGCTTTCATTTCCTGTTCATCCCTGGTTTTTGATAGGTTTTATTTTTTGCTCACTTTCACTCATATCTTTTTTTGTGTACTGATTTGTTGACTTTTGTTTGTCTTTTCACTTTGGTCATAATGTTGTCAGTCTTCTTCCACTTGAAACTTTTGATTGCTAATTAATTGGGCTTATTAATATGAATTAACTTTCGGGGAAAACAAATACAAAATATGACAACTACAACACGCATGACAATAGATGACACAAACAAGATAACAGATGACACAAACAAGACTATAGATGACACAAACAAAACTATAAATGACACAAACAAGACAATGGATGACACAAACAAGACAACAGCTGACAAAAACAAGACAAGAGATGACACAAACAAGACAATGGATAATGACTTCTATGTGTTGACCTATTTTTTTATTGAGCACATTATATTTGCACTTATTATGGTATCATTTTTTTATAAAATTGAGTGCAAACTTAATTACATTTGCACTTATTCATTTCACAAGTAATAAGGTAATATATAAAAAAACATGAATAACAGTAACATGTTATTCATGATTAATATACCGACCGTGCAGGGCTTTATAGCCAGTCTACGTCCTTGAACACACCCATCAGATCTGACGATTAATATGAAGAAAGTTTGATTGGATAATGATCGATCTCTTTATAAAGTTATTTCATATTCTAATATTGTGTCAGAAACCACAAAATTCAGCTTTGTTATCAAAAACGAAGTGAGGATCAAATCATTATTAAAATTCGCTTGATTAAGTTGGTGACGTTTGTATGTCAGAGTATAATATTAGAAAAGGTGAAATGCAAGTTATGCACGTAGTTGTAAAGAAAATATATTGATATAACAAAACTGTATTTTTCCTATATTTTCCAAAAATAAAGTGGCATTCTACGTTTGTTCTATGTCAAATGAATGCATGTGCACAATTGTAGGAACTTGTAAGACTTAAGGTTATTTGATTAATAATGCTAAATTAAACTCACTTGTAATTTCTTGCAGCCCATTCATTTATATATTCTGACAAAAATACCATCATGACTGAAAAGTAGAATTATAAACTGTCTATTTTCATCAAAATTAATAATACATGTACAAAATGTAATATCATAAAACTAAAGATTACCATTTTGCCCCCTTATGTTCTATTTATAGCAACAAAGTCCATATTTTTTTTAATTTCACCCTGCAACTGTGTTCTTTATGCAGAGATTAGTGTTTTTCAATTTTTTATTAAAGTTTAATTTGGGATTTTTGTTGATGAATTGATACAACATATCCACTTTCCTTTAAAATAGAAGGAAGTGTGGTGTTCTTTTAGTCTTTATGTCATATACAGTTCTCCACTTCAATCAAGCCAACAGTATAAAACTATCTTCAATAACTTAACATTCTCCTCATGTGAATTGTTGTTTTGTTTAATGTTTTTGCGGAAGCAAATACCATCAGCACAAAGTGAGATGAAGTCACAATAAAAGTGTCAAGTACCCTTTATTTCATTTTTACCTCTGTTCAAAAACAACATTTAAAGGTAATCAGTATTCAAGGTACATGCAGGTCATTTTCCTTTTTTGGGTGAATATTAAAATACCCAAGTAGTATTTATAGTAGTTTTTCTGTGCAGAATCAAAATTTTTTTTCTCTATTCTTCTCTGATCTTATGATCAACTTGCAATTTTCTTAAGTACCGGTAATATGTGTGTTTGTGCTAGTGCAAAATGACCCTCATCATATCCAGGATTTTTTAAGGAGGCTTTATCCCCAATAATTGAAGATATAGAGCAGTGCAAAGAGGCAAAACAAAATTTGGACAATTTTATACTAAAGATTTATATATTTTTTTTGACAATTTTATACTAAAGATTTATATTTTTTTTGATAAAAAAAACATTCTTATTTTTTTTTTAGATCAAAAGGGGAGGTGCGTACACCCTCTACCCCCTGGATCTGCCACTGATAACTATCTTTTTAAAAACAGGCACAGGAGATTAAGAAGGTAGCTGTTCAAAATCATTCAAAATTCAAAATGATTAATAATTTTCATCTACACCATGATTATATGTTGCATGGTGAATCTCATATTTACTATGTTTTACTTACTTAAGAAACCAAAATAAATAAATTGTATATTGGATTTTTTCCTGATCAGTATTGTAGTTAAGCAGCATATAACATGAAACAAGAGCAAATATCGAAACCATGGATCAGTCCAATCAATCTGAAAACAGAAAAAAAAACATGCAAATTATACTATCACAAATTTGAGACAATGAAGTCTGTATATTCAAATATAAATGTCCCAATAATTCATTACAAACATCCACTTTGCAGCCTTCACGATAAACTTTGAGTCCACAAGCACAGGGCTCAATTTTATGAAAACTTTAGTTGGTTTCTGTTGGCTTGTAGAGAAGAATTATTTTACAAGCCCCCGGGCAATATTACAAGCCATGGCCGTAGGACTTGTGGTTTAGCGTAAAGACTGACTTTGTCCATCATAAAATTTAGGCCTCCTTAATGATGAATGGCATGAATGGACCTTATTCATCTTATCGTTATTTGTCCACTATTACTGGACATCACAGATGGTCTCTTAGATTTTGACCTCATTAGAGAAATGGCTGAAGCCACAATGCTAAAGTGATTGCAGTATGCATATGACATGAATAGTTCAAATGTTCCAAAATCTCTTCTTTTTTTGGGTTAATTTTTTTTTTTTCAAATCTCAGGTCAAATGTCAAATTCCCAAAATCCTAAAATAGTGATCCAGTTAAGGATGTACTTAGGTGAAATTAAATAAATTAAGGATTTAAAATTGATACTTTAAGTTGGAAGGAACAAAATAAGCTAAAAATATTGATAGTTTATGGTGCTCCTTTTCAAGATACACGTATTTGATTTTTTAAAAATGGCGGGAAATGGCTGACTCAGACTTTTACCTTATATTTGCATTGGTATTATTTGGGTCTCAAATCAAAAGAAAGAAAATCAAGAATCTGCTTAAATTTTGGTAAACGACTTTTTTAGAGCTACATGTATTGAAGTCTTTTATGAAAAGAAAAATGGGTGTTATCTGACCAAGGAGTCCGAAAATCTGACACAAATTCTGAAACCTCACATGTACATCTTAAGTGTCATTATTGTCAAATAAACACCCCCTTTATAGTTTTGGGGAGTTTTGGGGAATTTGGGGTACTAGTTGTAACCACTTTTCAGGACATGTAATCCCCAAGATGTCTTTGACTGTTAGTGTTATAAATTTTATACTACCTAAGTGCAGATATAAATGAATATTCTACATGAATAAAACTTGTTCATGTAACTCAATAAATATTAAAACTAGAAATGCCTTAGCAGCCTTACCATATGTATTTATTTGTAACCAGTTACAAATAACAATACCTTAAAGTGTTTCTTCTCATCTAATAGAAAAACAAAGGATATGGGATATCCATCCATGACACAAAATCTGTATTCACAGCGAAAAAAAACACAAAAAGGAAAGGAACAGCGCTTTTATTGCTGTTCTTCATCTCAGTCACAGTGAGGCCTTCAACAAGGAGTTTTAAAAACTCTCACCTAGTATATATACTATTCCCAGGTTTAACCAAATACATCTTTATTTCCTACAACAATATACATGATATATCATTTTTACATGTGTAGCTACACATGTACATGTACTTGAAACTAGTTAAAGGAATGAAATATTCAACATGTACCATTTGTACCTGTGTACAAATAAAAGGGGGGATATTGATTTCATGTTGATCCAGCCCCAAGTCGATCCGTCCCAGTGGTTCAGAGCCAAGTCATTTCAGCCTACATTTAAAGTCAATCTGGTACCAATTTAAAACAATATTTACAAGGGATAAAAATAATATATATTTGACATGTAGTTCATAAATATTAACAACAGCAAAGGTCAGAGACATATAATACAATAGATGAGTCATCAATAGTTGAATTAAAGAATTCAAATCTTAACCATGCTTACTCCAACAGTAAACATGGTAAATACTAAACGATAAACACATATGTTTATAAACCTTGGTCACAAAAATCCCTTAAAAATGCTTAAAAATTGTATCATACATGTATGTCTCTGCAAAGGTGGACGATCAAAAATTGTCCATTTGATGCATATTCAATTATATAATTTTCAATAGACATGTTCATATTATGATAATAGAGAAGACATTAATTTGAATATTGTTTTTTATACCTTAAATATTTATATTAAAATCATTTTATCAATTCAATTCAATTCAAATGTTTATTGTCATATAAACTCTTAACAATAAGTTTGTGACAAATTATATGAATACAAACATACACAAAATACTTTTCACAAACAAAACCATAGGAAAACATATACCATAAAACATATAAAAGTAAAAAAGCAAAACAATCTATCTATATATATATTTATATAAATAAATCAAGAGTCCCCTGTCCTCAGTTCTAATGCTTGTTTAAAAAAGGACCCTAACCTTTCTACTTCTTTTGAGGTTGATGGGCAAAGAAGATATTTAATTTTCTCATTTTCTTGCCAGGACATAAAATCTGGCATATGTTTAACTTCATTTCCTATAAATTTATCTTTAAGTTTAGAATTTTTTCTACAGTATAAAATAAAATGAACTTCATCCTCCAATGTATTACAGGATGGGCGTAGTCTTTTTTCTCTAGGTATTTTTATATGTCTTCCTTTTTCTATCAATAAATTATGATTGCTAATTCTCATTTTTGTTATCTGGTTATGTTACTTCTCTTTTCAAAAGACTTACAGTTTAAGTAGTTTTCCATTTCTAAATTTTGCTTCAAACTTTTATATAAATATAATTTACTTTTTTGGTCTATTTTTTCAAATTTTTGTTCAAATATATTTTTGTAGAAATTTAAAAATTGGTGTTTTAAGGTTTCTTTTTCTTTTGTTTCCCTCAAGAATGGATACTTCCATGTTTACCTCTTTCAAAATATTTTTAACATATGTAAACCAGGTATAGCAACCTGATTCATCCAAACTTTTAGAAAGTAAAAAGGATTCATATAATAATGGATTAATTTCAGAATTTTATAATCTTGATAAGTAAAGTACATGTATACTCTGAGTTTTTAAATGCATCTACATGCTCTAGTGGGTATCTCCCTATCTCTATTCTCACAGCTATGTTTGATGAAGATTTTCTTGTTCCGAAGATATATTTACAGAAAGACAAATGTAATTTTTCTAAACATGACTTATCAGTAAAATTAAGGAGGTCAGACACCCGTTCTATATTTGTTTTGGAGATATTTGCACGTTTTTTTTGCTCTAAATTTTGAAACATAAGTATCCATATAAGTATACGTAATTTCTGAATTATAAGTGGCTATTGTTTTAACTATAGAGTCAAAAAGACTGCAAGCTACTTTAACTGGCAGATTATTTAAAGAACCAGTATAAGTTTTAATGGCAAACATCACTTTCCTTGCTTTATTTACAAGTTCTTTAGAGCTATGCCATGTATGCAATAAGTTTCCATTTGTTTTTACAAGAATTCCAAGAAATGAATATTCAGAGACATTTGTCAAATTTTCATTTTTATATTTTGTAAAAGATGTTTCCACTTTTTTATTATATTGCTGCAGAATCATTGTTTTAGTTTTATTAATATTTAAAGTCAATTGCCACTTTTCACAATATTTTTGTAAGTTGTTCAGACTATTTTGTAGGCCTTCTTTACTTTCAGATAATATTAAAAGGTCATCAGCAAATTGTAAAGAAACTACTTTAGTATCAATCAGTTCCAATGGTCAGCTTTTTTCATTTGAAAACTCTGCATCTAAATCATTTATAAATAAATTAAATAAAGTAGGACTCAATGAATCCCCTTGTTTAACCCCTTCTGTGACCTCAAAATATTCTGAATGCAACTCTTGGTGCTTAAAAGCAGATTTTGTTTCCTCGTACTGTCCTTTAATAATATTAAATATTTTTTTCCCTACTCCTGCATTATACAGTTTATAAAGTAAGGCTTTTCTCCATACAGAATCAAAAGCCTGTTTTAAATCTACAAAGCAGGCATATATTTTATTTTTATTTTTGTGTAAGTATTTGTTTATTAAGGACTTAAGCACAAATATACTATCAGAGGTTTTATCACCTTTAACATGTTTAATGAGAACAGCATTTTATCACCTTTAATGAGTAGGGATAATTATGCAGTACATGTATATATAATATTATAGCTGGGACTATTATACTAACGGGACTGGAATCCGATCGATCTGTTGAGATTTTATTTTCCCTGATAGCAGATTATTGATTTTTTTTTTTTGATTGACAGCTTATCGTGCCACATGGTAAATATGGTTAATTAGCCTTCGGAACATGTAAACAATAGATTTCAGCGAACAAGTCAGCATATGGGCAAAGTCAAAATAAATGGTCCAAATTTTAAATTTTTGACAAAATTTCAACATTGTTTCAGTGCATTTTCTTTTGTTGTATCTTGATACATATACATTTAAGTTAATAAATCCAAAAGGATATAAAAAAGTATAAAGAAATAAAAAAGTTCTGAAACTTTATTGACATAAACCAATAAACAAAATTTAAATCAAGTATACATTTTTAGAATATGATTTCAGACAAACAATATCAAATATTTATATTTTTTTCACCCCAATTGATTGCAGAGATCCAAACATTACTTTTGATGCAATGATTAATAATATCCTCTTTGATTATCATTTTTTTTATGTTTTTGGCTTTTTTTTTGTATCAATTCATTTAAAATTGATTGAAAAAGTTTTGATTAAAACATAAATCATCAATAAGTTGATAAAAAAACTTCTCCATATTAAAATGAACCCTTTTTCAAATTCATCGAGGAAAAAAAACTGATTGATAAATCTTTTAATAAAGAAGATATATCAAAAAGAAAATACATCCAATTTCCCCTGTTTTTGTTGCACTCTGACATATTATACACCAAACAAAAAATACAGAAACTAGAACAAAATACTCATGATTTTTAAAAATTTGTAATCATTGCTGATTTATAAAGACCTAAATCTGTCATTTGAATGTTATTTCTATTTTAACTTATGCATCTTATGCACTTCAGATCATATTTAAATTGATTTCTCTGATACATTATTATTAAAATCAGGTTAAGTTACCAAACTATGAACTAAATTCTATTAAATATTCAGCAGAATTGTTGTTTG